TCTTGCAGGGAGCTGTGTTCCCATGAGATGCTGAGCATCAAGCCAGTATCCCTTCCGAATGGCTTCAAGTGGGTGTGGGGCATCAGTAGGGCCCCATGCAGAGATGGATCATCTTGTCTGTAAAACCCTAGTGAATGGAGCTAAATCCTGTTCTCCCATCCTCAGACGGGTAACGTGGGGGAAGTATATGAACTGTGGTCAGACCTGCATCGCCCCCGATTACATCCTCTGTGAGCAATCCATCCAGAACAAAGTAGTGGAGAATATCAAAAAGACTCTAAAGGTGAGTGTTTGGTGAGTCCTGCTTAGCCCATCTAAGCTGCTTGCGCTGTCATTTTAGCTGTGTCTTGCCCCCGCATTTCACGTAAATATAAACCCATATTTCAGGTTCCTGAAGGTAGCGGCTGTGTTCTTTGGAATGTTTGTAAAGCACTAAACTCTTAACGCCCTTGTCATAAGCAACGCTAGGTATGGAACTCACTCTGTGATACGGCCCCCGCTCAGTGTTGATTCAGTTTGCCCATGCCGGTAGAATTTCAGATCTGTGCTGTGCAAGTGTTGCTGGAGTGCTCACATTCACCCCCCCCCCACCTCCCAGAGAGCGCATTGCTACATTTCAAGGCTGACAGGCCACTTCCAAGGCTGAGAAATGGCCTCATCTGAGTAATGCCAGGATTTGCAGCCTCCACAGCAGTCCAGTTGATGTCTGTGCTGACCCTGGCCAAGGGGGATAGGTGCCAGATTACTGATCAGACATTTCCAGTTTTTAAACCCCATCCCCTTTTCTTTTTTTTTTTTACAGGAATTCCATGGGGAAGATATAAAAAAATCTCCGGATTATGAAAGGATCGTCAATAAGCACCACTTTAAAAGACTCATAAGGCTGCTGGATGGACAGAAGATAGCGTTCGGAGGAGAGACTGATGAGGCTACATGCTTTATCGGTATTCCTTCAACATTTGCTCGGGACAAGAGGGTGATGTCATGATCCTTATGCCAGCTAGCGTCCTCTCCTCACAGCAGCTCAGAGTTGTCAGACTTCTGGCTTGTTTAGCCTGTTTAATCCAGTGGGTGCACATGATTAAAATAAAAAGTGATCAGGGAGAAATATCTCTGCTCCTCCTGCTGCCTAATGTTCCTAGGGGAGAGGCGTTTTGTGGTGGCTGTTTCAGTTTTTTGATGTAGCTATTTGTTCTCACTTCTAGTATGAGCAAAGCACTAGTGAATGGCAGAATAATAGACCAGTGCTCAGGCTCCTGTTAATCTCTACAAATCTCTCGGTCACAGAGATGGTCAGTATCTGTTTAGTAGTCACACCGCAGTGCAAAGCCTCTGGCTGTGCTAATACCACAGCCATGTGGTCTACCTATTGCCTTCCCTTAAAGGGGATAGCAGAGGGCTGGGGTCCAGGAAACCTGGGTTTGGTCCCAGCCCTGCCACTGACTTGATGTGAGACCTTGGGCAAGTCACCTCGCCTACCTGCTAATGATGCGGACTGTAGCCTGAATGCCAATTGGTCAACTTAGGAGAAGCATGTCCTAAGGTTCTTGCCCCAGGATCAGACACAACAGAGTCAAAACTGACAAGTTCAATATAGAGAATGCCAGGCTATATGACAAGGGCATTCGCACAGAGCAAACATGGGCTTAGCCATCTTTGTTAACACAATTCAGAGAGACCAGAAATCTCCAAATCACAGAAGCAAATAGCAATGACAGAGTACTAGAGAAATCTTCAAGGTTATTCTTTCCATAACGTGTTCATTGTGATACGCTCACACCCCTTCCTTGGCAATCTAGCGGTAAGAGACCAGAAAAATGGGTGTGAGGGTCCAGACCCCCAGTGGTCGAAGGTAGATAATAGTGTTGAAGGGTAGAGGACTAGTTACTTTCTGCATGTGGGTTCCTGCTTATACAAGGCCCGGGAATCACCCTGAATATTCATACGAGCACTCAGCCCCCTCTGTCCATGTTCAGTTTCCTCTCGCTTATTACATTGGGGTGCCTTGCCCTCAGAAGTTGGCATATCTATCCCTGTTCTCTCATCCCTATTGCTAAAACACATTTGTGGTTAGACATCTGCTAATGATGGTCTGAAAATATCCAAGGTTAGTATCCTTTGGCTTTCCTGCAGTTGCTTAGTCTCATGTCAGCGTTTCCCATAAGTAGCTATTTCCATTTCCCCCACATCTGGGCCACTTACTCTGTGCTGCAGGTAGGAGGCCTGTGCTTCATGGATGCTCACTTGCTTGAGCCAGTGTCTTACACAATGCAGGCCTGTAGATTCCTTGTGTTACTGCTCAGTAACATAAAGATGCTTTTGCTAAGGGCTGCAGAACCCATCTTACTACAACCAGGAGAGGGACTGAGGCTTCCTGAGCCGAGTATTTATTTCTTTGTCCTAATTCGGGCTTCTCCTTTGTCTGTTGTAGCCCCAACTGTACTCACAGATGTGAGCCCAGATTCCAGGATCATGCAAGAAGAGATTTTTGGCCCCCTCCTTCCCATCGTGACTGTAAAGAGCCCGGATGAAGCAATTCAATTCATAAATCAGCGGGAGAAGCCGCTTGCCTTGTATTTGTTTGCCAATGACAAGAAGGTAGGTTCTGGCTTCGTGGTGCAGTTGGACAGGCAACTCTGCCCTACACGTTATAAACATGGAGCCAGGTTCATCCCTGGCACAGCCTCGTGGAGTGTGTTTGGCTTTAGCTCATGTTAAATCCCAGGTCCTGGGGCATCAGATATTCCCAGAGCTTCTGGAACTTCCCCTAGACTCTTAATGGTGGCAGGAAGTAACTTTAATCCATCTGTTTGGCCCTCACGCCCATGTGGGAACACAGCATGGATGGGTCATTTTGGCAGGTTTTTTTCCACTGCTTGTCCAAATAACTCAGGCCAACTGGGCTCTTGTAATGGGTTGGGGCTGCTCATAAACTTGGCAGGGGTGCAGAGACTGAAATCCTAGGTCAGGAGAGTAAGAGAGGCTGGAAAACTGTCATTGCAAGTTGAGGCATCTGGACTTGCAAGACGCTGGCTGGTACGGATCTTGTACTGTGGAATTGGCTGTTGCAAGTGGTACATGATAAAGCCAAATACGCTAATGGGGAAAGGGTGGGTGTTAGTGTCTGAAGCTTTATGTTGAACCCAGCTGGTGAGTTCTCTTCTGTAGCAGCTTCTGTTTGTGACTCGTTAGATGATCAAAAGGATGATCTCAGAGACATCCAGCGGCGGGGTCACTGCAAACGACGTCCTCATGCACTTCACTCTCCCAGATCTGCCCTTCGGGGGAGTTGGTGAGTTTCAGGAGCATGCCATGACTGTGCTGTGTTGCCTTGCTCCCTGCAGCTTAGCCACTGGTTCTTTGTAATGATCTCGTGACTGATCGGAGCCAGTTAACCAATCGAATGGGGTTTTGCATCCCTAATCAGTTTGTGTGTTGATGCTCTCAGGGTACAGTGGAATGGGTGCCTACCACGGCAGACACAGCTTTGAGACCTTCACCCATCGCCGCTCCTGCTTAATCAAGTCTCTGAAGATGGAAAGTGCGAACGCCATCCGGTACCCGCCGAACAGCAAGAAGAAGGTGGACTGGGCGAAGTTCATCCTCTTGAAGCGATTTAACAAAGGCCGAATGGGGCTGATTGCTCTGGCCCTGCTGGGTGTCATACTGGCTGCGGTGATAAAGGTGAGCTTCGGGGCTCTGCTTTTCCGTTTCATTGCACGGTTTAAAGGAAGGTTTATTTCTGAGCCCGTTTAGTGCCAGAGGGTCTCTCTTCCCAGCTGTGCTCCTCTCCTAGAAGCTGGCCTACTGTAGCTTGTGATCTGCCAGCTGAGTGAGCTCAGGGCCAGCCCGAAGCGCTCCAATCCGCTTCTCTCTCTCTCAGGCAAGCAGGATCCGGACTGGTCACAGGGCTGAGCTGATTCTTAGGTAAACATTTGGTGCCTGCTAAGCCATTACTGGTGTAATGTGCTGGGGAACGTGTGAGCGGCTGAGTCCTTCTGAAGACCAGGAGTCAGGCCATGGCTGGATGGGAACTGCATGGGCTTGAGAAAGCAGGAAGCACGAGCTGCTTCCATGTCTCGTTCAGCATTAAAGCTGCCTTTGGGAGGAAGTTGGCTACCTGGCTACCTCACTGACCATGTGGCATTAGCAGCTGTGCATTGCTTACAGTGTCCCTGTGGCGGGGGAGAGGGGAAGGCTCTTGGCTTTGCTGCAGACACCTCCGTGTGCATGTGGGGATACTTGTCTCCCTCCCAGAAGTGCTGCCCAGCCCTGGCGTGGGAGGAGCATGGTGGCGTGAAACTCTTGCGGTTTGGAGTAGATGGAGGATTCGAGACAGTCCGTGCTGCAGAATGTCTTAACATTCCAAAGGGACAGCTGCTAGCCAAGCAGCAAACCTGGCAGCGCATGCTGCCTTGGTGAGGTGAGGGGGCCAGGCGCTGTCGTACCACACAGCATCCAGGTCGGATCGAACCTGTGAATCAGTCCTGTCTCCTCACAGGTTGGGCTGGGCCCGGCCAGCCCCACATCCGAAAACCCCCGCCGCCCCTGAAGGCAACTGCAGGCTAATCGTTGCCCACCTTTAGGTCTCCACTCCTCCGAGACTGGCCCAAGCCCTGAGCTGAAAGGGTTACTGTTCCTTCCCAACTGCTTTGTCGCTGCGCCTTGTGAGATTCCCCCTTAAACTCTTGTGCACGTCTTGTGACCAACTCTGCCTTCTCACGCCTCCCCTGCATCTCCCGTGCCGTCTTAGACAAGAGAGGGTGACCGGTGATATTTTTAATAGCCGGTGGATTTTCCCCACCTCAGTGGCCTGTATTGAAGAGAAAAGCCCAGTGCGGTGCTTTGCAGCACAGACACAGGGCTGGCTCAGCATCGCGCTGGGGCAGCCGGATTCAAAGCCCAGCTAGTCCTACTGATGTGTGCTCTCCCTTGTGTGGTGTGTTAGAGCCTGCTTGTAGAGGGGGGATTCTTTCAGGGCAGCGGAAGCAGGGACTGCATGGCATGGCGCAGGCTTTCCTCCTGTCTGCTACTTTGAATCTTTACCCCCGCAGACGGGGGTTGTGAATGGACCGTTTTTCTCTTGCATGAAGTGTCTAGGCCGTGGATTCTACAGTGTTCAAAGTAAGAGTCCAAAGGGGCACGAGTGTGACCAGTGGGCCAGGAAAAGCAGTGCCTGTTGGCACTAGTGTGGGGAGAGGGCAAGCATTTTGGCCTGAGGACCAGTGTTCCTTCTAACATCCATGTGTAGAATAAATGTTATGATGTGCACCAAGGCATGTGTGGCTGTGCACCCCCAGTAGGAACGCATGCTGCTGGCTTTGGACAGGAGTGATGTAAAATCCTCTTTAAAATGTTAATCGGTTAACCGATGTTTAACAGCCCCCCTCAAGGCCACAGTGGGCCCAGCTGGGCTGGAGTGTCTCCAGTGCAGCGTAGTGAGCCGGTAACCAGTTAAATGTAGTTAATGTTTTAAACTGGATTTGCTGGAGCACTTGGTGAAGTGGGCCTGGCTGGGCTGGGGAACCCTGTGGTGTGTCCAGCTGGGCTGGAGCAGTGCCCCCCTGCCCCCCAGCACATTGCGGGTAGGAGGCTGCTCCAGACGGCCTAGGGGTCTGTTAACCAGCTACCCTAGTAAGCATGCCAGTAAGGCAATGGTTACCAGGTAACAAGTGAATCGGTTAACCCTTTACATCTCTAATGGACAGCTGTGGGCTCTGCTGATCAGCTGGGTGGCATTTGAATTTCTCCTGGGTGGTCACCCAAGTGCTCAGCTTACAGGGGATCCTGTATGATGGGTGGGAAAACTGTATGGCCATGAATATAGGGCCGGGGCAGGTGGTTGGGGAGCTGGAGGGGGTGCGGGTAGGGTTACCAGGTGGCTTTAAAAAAAAAAATACTGGACACATTTGATCTCAGATGGGGTGGGGGCGGGAAACGGCCGGGAGGGGAGCAGGGCTTGCTGGGAGGAATGGATGGCGGGAAGCAGGGCTGGCGGGGGCAGCGGGGCT